ATGTGCCCCAGCAGCAGCTGCACCTCAGCCCCAGCAGCATCCCACCATGCGGCTGTGCAGCCACCACATGACCCAAACCCAGCTCCAGCCCTGGGGAGTCAGGGATATCAGAGAACTGCCTGGCTGAGCCCCCACTTCTCCAGCAAGCAAACCATCCACAGTTAACCTTGCTGCAGCTGTGCGGCTCCGCTGAGGTGGTGGGTAGGACTTAATTCTCTCTGCATGTCCACACAAGCGTGCACCCTAAGGGAACTTGGGTGGTGATGCCAACTGTGTGACTTTTAGCCCAGTGGTTAAAGTATTCATAGGAATGTGGGAGACCGATTCAATTCCCATCTCTCTGCCAAAGGTGGAGGGGGTTGGATAGGATTCTTCTATCTCTAAGCAGAGGTGCTTTAACTGCTGATAGGATGTTCCCTCAGTGTCTCCTGTTGACGTTTTCCCACTGGGGATAAATCTTTAGTCCTTGGGTCAGACAGAGACAGAGAGCATGACTTTGTAGTCTAGTGGCTAGGCCACCCAAATAACAGAACCAGGGTCTGGCCCCTCTGCTTTAATGAATTCTGATATATTTCCAATAGAACAGCTTATTCAGGAGAGATCCTGACAACATCATCCCACAGCTCAATAGCTAGAACACTCCTATCAGAGGTGTGGAAGACCCTGTTCAAATCCTTTCTCCCCAATGGGCAGAGGAGGGAATTGAACCTGGGTCTCCCACATCCTCTGAGAGTGTGCTTATCAATGGACTAAGAGGCATAAGGTAAGTTCTCACCAGGAGTGACTTAATTGCTTATTTTTTGGTAAGACAGTTGGTTCCCCCCTCATCCATTGTTTAAGGAGCCTTGGTAGATTTACTCAGACTTTGTGGCTCACAGTGTTCTTGTGATATTTTTTGGAGTGACAAAATGCGTAGCATTGCAATGCCTAAGTCCCTTTGTGGATGCAGGCCCACATTTCCCTCTATCCCCCCAAGAGAGCTATGCTCTTTTGCAGTACAGCTTGCAAAGCCTCAGGTGAAGCATCTGAAAGCTGGAAATAAAACCATATAGAATGAATGCGATCATCTGCAAAAGAAACTACCAAACATTTATTTAATCCAACAACCGCCTCATTTAGGTTCTGCTGAAAGATTTTCCTCTTTGATCAGCTTTCCCACCATGATCAAAATGATTTAAAATAGGGGGACTTAGGGTGGGAACTGCACGCAAGTGGCAAAGGGTTGTGACCAACCTGCTCTTATGTTGCTAAGGCCAGGTCTACACTGGCAGAGAAAATTGATGCAAGATTTGCAATTCCAGCTATGTGAATTGTGTAGCTGGAGTTGATATACCTTGCATTGATTTTTCTGGGGCAGACTCACAGTGGGAGGTTGACAGGAGAAATGCTCCCGTCAACTTCCC